AGTGACAAACCAGCATAACGATGCTACAGTGTATGTGTGCTGCCCAAGGCCTTCAGGCATCAAACCACGTGATAGCGGCGATAAGCGGTGTGGTTATCGCCTCACGGCTTATTATCTAATCGCAGCTTGGCTCATCGCCTCGTCAGTCACTCAGTCAGCAGCCCATCTCCGCATTCCCTTCCCCTCACGCTTCTCAGGGGTTTGCTGGTTCCCAGTTTCAATGTCTGGGAGGTCCTATTTGATGTGTTGAAGGCCTATGGTTCTTTTGTCTCTCCCTTATACTCGCGTCGACTCATCTTTCCGGTTTGCTGCCTTCTGATTTCCGTTTGCGGAGAACTAGTTTGCGGAGAACTCACAGGCAGGCCCATCTTGCCAGGCACACTGTTATCTTTCCCTTGGTCGGACCCGAAACACGTTACCCAGGCAGCTATTGCCCGCTTCATGCCCTCGAAGGATTTATAATCTGTGAAAAGTCGTCCTCATCCAGATCGCGCTATCACTATTCAAAAAGGGAGACACTATGACGCCATCCCGTGATAAGCCAGACCCAGATATCGACAAGCGGGATTTTGATGCCCATCGCCCGTTACTAGATGATGCAGATGCTGAGGCGGATGAGCAGCAGCGAGGACACCTACGGTCAAGGGCAGGGTCATGTTTATCGGCCACCAACAATGACGATGGTCTCCTAAATGATGTTGTCGACGAGATCTTAGAAAGGGATAGAAAGAAAATGGCCAAGGAAGTGGTGCGGGTTAGCAGTTTTGCTTGGGGCGTTATCAGCTGGTAAGATCTCTTGTGCGTGTAGGATGCGCCGATCACATCCTCGTTGGATAACTGGCTAATCGGAATCTGTGGTCATCAGTCTTGGAGCTGGTAGCATTACCGCATTCTCGCTATACGGACCCCTGTTGCTCACTCGCCTCCACTACACTCAACTCCGTGTCAATGCTGTTGCGATCGCCGCAGAAGTCTCGATGTACCTACCTGTTCCGCTTTTTGGATATCTCTGCGATCGGTACAGCCCATCTCCGCTGGCTTTATTCTCTGGTTTCGTGTTTGGGGCTGGCTACCTTCTGGCTGCACTCGCCTTTAAGAGTGGACCGCCTCCTGATGCAGGTGGCGAGGGCTGGCCGTTTTGGGTGATGATCGTGGCTTTCATTGCCATTGGCGTTGCTACAAGTTGTATGTACTTGGCTGCGGTCGCAACATGTGCCAAGAATTTTGGCAGGGGTAAGCATAAGGGCATTATGCTTGCTGTTCCTATCGCGGGATTTGGCCTTAGTGGCATGTGGCAGAGCCAGGTGGGAACGTACTTCCTGTGTGATCGACTTGAAGATGGTGCTCGTGGCGATGTCAACGTGTACAAGTACTTCTTATTTCTCGCGATCCTGTTGTTCTGCATTGGTGTGATCGGTACCTTTGCCCTCAGGATCGTGGATGAGATTGAAGACAAGTACATCGACGAGGCAGTAGAGGAATTGGAGCGCAGTGGCCTTCTTGAAGAGAGCGAATTCTTCCGGCCCAGGAACGAAGTTAGGGCTGCTTATGGAACGTTTTCGCAGGCCGACGACGGCACCGGATCCGATGGGGACCAAACTCTGACACTTTCAGAAGAGGAGCGAGAAGCAGCAAGACTTGAGAAGGAGAGGGAGGAAGAAGAGCGTCGGAAGAAGAACTGGCTGCTGAACTATGAGACGAGGATCTTTCTCCAGGACAAGTCAATGTGGTGGCTTGCGATTGGCTTCTTCCTGGTCACTGGACCAGGCGAGGCATATATCAATAACGTAGGTTGCGTTCAATGTATCGTCTCGTCTCACGCTTACTGACTCGCTATCTAGCTGGGCACTATTGTTCAATCCCTGACTCCTGTATCAAATATTACAAACGCCTCATCGCCCGCAGGCCTACCATCAACCCATGTCAGCACCATCGCGCTGACCTCCACCATTGCCCGACTTCTCACCGGCTCGCTCTCCGATCTTTTCGCCCCGCCAGCAACCCATCTCTTCCCCGGTCCTTTAGAAAGTAGTCGCCCTGCCTCCATCACATCGGTGACCAACCGCACCACCTTCACCCGCCTTGCATTCCTTCTCCCCTCCGCCTTTCTCCTCTCCATCGGCTACCTCCTTCTCTCCTCCCCCATCCCCCTCCAATACCCCGGCTTTACCCACCTCACCACGGCCCTGATAGGTCTCGGCTACGGCAGCGCCTTCTCCCTCGTTCCCATTATCATCTCTGTCGTCTGGGGCGTCGAGAACTTCGCCACCAACTGGGGTATCGTTGCCATGGTTCCAGCCGCTGGAGCAGCCGTCTGGGGATTGGTGTATTCGCAAGGATACCAGGACGCCATGGACGACGGAAACGGCACGAATGATGGCCAATGTCATGGCTGGAGGTGCTTTGGGTTCTGGGCCGTGGGATGTACGGTAAGCGTCTGGATAGCCATTGGGGCTTGGTTGATTGCGTGGAGGTATTGGAGACGGCGAGGAGTCGTTGTTTAACTGTTATAGAAATTGTCTTTTCCTCAAATTACCACGGTTCTGGGTGAATTTTGAAGCTGCGTTGGTGTTTCGCGTTATATTAGCCGCTCGCTGCATTTTCTTGCTTCCTTTTCTTTCTTCCTGCCTCATTCGGAGCGGGGCAACCTACCCCCTAGAGGGTAGTATTGGTTTTCACATCCGCTAATTGATGGTACATGCTGCTGCTGCTATTGCTATTTGAGCGGAACGGGGTCTCGGGTCATTCGTTAAACCACATCATACCATACTTACACACGTCTATCGGGCTACTAGAAAGTCGTTTCATCATATATCTATCTACCTATCTATACTATCTATGCATTGCAGAGCATGCATGGCCTTGAGCTGAACCAATTGAATGATTAAAACTAATAATCAGTAAATCACATGCATCGTGCACTTTATTACGTCAAAGATCGCTTCGTTGTTGAACTCTACTATCAAACTCAATATGAATTTACTGGCTGGGCTATTGTTATACACTCACTAGGTTGTGTCTCGGAAAGCTTTTCTACTGATCTATCGATCTAGGCGTGGTAAAATGATGCAAACCATTTTAATACGTCGAGTGTTTGACAGAATAAGAAACATCATCCCTTTATAGTGGAGAAAAAAACAGTACAGCAGTGAAGTAGTATATATGAATAATGCAGGGCTAGCTAAGTCATATAGGTATATGGAATAAAAGAAGCATGTAATATAGCGAATCGAAGCTGTGTATTTATGCATGAAACTAAGTATCTCAACCCTTATCTCTACCTTGGGAGTATAAGCAGCAACAACATCTTCGAGGTATTCAGTGACAAGACTAGATGTATTGTATAATGGATGTTTACATAGTACTATAGTTCTTGTAATATATTACCCTCACTCATCATTGCCCTCACAATGATCTCGATATCGCAGAGACAAAAGAGAAGGTATGAAAAGAAAAGTTCCTTTCTATCATCTTAATATGTCTCATCTATGAGTTCGTTCGATGCTCCGCTTGATACAATTAGCGCAGCATGTTGGCTCTCACCATGCCGTACGTGGCTGCGGATGTTGGTCAGTTTTGGGTTGCAATGCGAGAAAACAGGGATTCCCCGGGGGTTAGTAAGTACGTACGTTTAAGACATGTATAACAGTCTTGCAAGACTGTTCTTGGTGGTGTTTTGTCTGTCATGCGGGTTTAATGATGCTGAAGTAACACGATAAGGTGGTGTGGACACTGTTAACGTGGAATGGATATGTGCTATAGTAGAGCTTGTCCTCCATGATCTCCCATCTTGACTGTTGGATGGTCGTTCGTACTTGTTTATTGATGGGTATAGGCTCTCGTATAGTGTATGTGGAAAGATGCATAGGATAGGAACTAGCATGCATGGATGAATGACGTGGGGTGTAGTGTGGATGGAATGGAAGGGTGAAGCTGAGAGTACATCAGGGGTCGTTCTCCTGGGATGACACCAAGCTTTCTTCTGGTGACTAATCGTACGGCAAAGCAGGGTTGTAGACATTTTGCCCAGACTATACCTCGCAATCCTCGTTTGTGCCTTGCGTATAGCTTTTTCTCGTTCATTAGGGTTTTTGGTGGATTTAGGTCGGTGCATCTGGTCTGATAGGACAGAGAGGAGGCTTGAACTGGGTTTAGAGATGGGGCAGCTTTGAAGTAATGCTCATAGGTGGTGTGGGCTTCATTGAGTCAGTCTAATTCGAGGATGGTATATCGTCCATGGGTTGGTCGATATTCTCCAGATCGTCTCCACATCAATTGGGAGTTCAATCCGGCGGGTTGCAAAGTTGTTGTCCGCACAAGACCTCCGGTAAACGGACAGCAACTGATTGATTGTCGGTCTCTGCTTCGAGTCATAAATAGGCTTCAGACCGCGCATATACAATCAATACCCTCGGGTGTCTGCCGATGTTCTGGAAATATCGCCTCTTTCTCTTCGTAATGCCATTACCTTTGATCTTGGCTTTCGGGGGCATCACGTCTGTATATTTCGATCATTCCCACGACTGTCTTTCGGATCTCTTCTGACGTAGTTTTGCGACATTTTTCCATCACTGATATCGGACACACTAGAAGAGGTATGGAGAAGCCCTGTAGGAGCTCTCCCCACGGCTGGTTGTCTTCATTGTCATGAAGTTAAATTGCACGGATCATCTCATCCATCTATTCAACGAGCATATACACCGCATGGGCATTGACCACGAACAGACAGATTGGCTGTAGCTGGTCATGCTTTCGATGTATATTGCTTCGGTCATCCGTTGAGTCTTCTGAGCCAGGCCAATTGATAGCAAGTGGGCCCGTAATATCTCGGAATACCAGCATCAAGGAAGTGATGTTCAGTGGGTACATGTGGTGTATCAGGCAGTTCTCTTCAGTATCCTCTTTATCCACGATCATCGTCCTCGTTCACCGCATCACTCATGACTGTGGATGAGGTGCTCCAAGTGACAAAATTGTATCGCCAGTGTCCGTTTTCGAGCACGAGCCCTCTCGCACCAAGGCAAACTGTGGAATGAGTGGTGATGCAGTTTCTTTTCTGTGAGTTGTTCATACCGTGTGCAGTCTATTGTGACTGCAGTGGTCTTTCGATGGTATAGATGCCCGATGACCCGATTCGATTCGGACATCTCCGTATACTACTCGCGTTGTAGTGCAGCTCAGGTATATCCAGCCATCTATCAGCTTTGAGACAGAAGCGTTAGCAAGGATGGCCTCAATATAGGTCAGGTAATGAAGGACGTACCAACTCCACTCGATATTTTTCCCAGCTCTCCAGCGTCCATAGAATAGACCCCATCACATATGGCAGGTGAAACCACGACCGGGATCCATAAGAGACGGATTACCACTGACTTCATCAGCAGTGGATTCCGAGTTTATCCCTTTGCGTGCAGAGCCGAATCGCCGTATTCCTCATACGACATCTGACAGCCCCGTTGTGTGACGGTCTCCACCCCTTTTTTACAGGATAAACCCACGTCCATGAGCATATGTTCTTCGGGCTGATCAATATAGACTGAAACAGAGGAAATAGTTGGTCTTTGTTCTCTCTAATGGGATTTTGAGGGGACATGGATGCAACTGAGTAGGAAGGTAAGGAGGCATTCTCAGAGGTCCATGGAGTAAGGTGACTCAGAAAGTAGAGAGTATGACGCTCAAGAAATGAAGAATGTAGGTAGGAGTGAGAATGAAAGAATAGAGGACATGAGAAGTGAGAGACACTATATATTGAGTATACTGGGTTAGTATATAAGGAGAAAGAGATGAATACAGATGAAAGTGATGAAAGAAGGGCACTGTGCAGATAGGAAGACGGTAGGAAAAGGATGAAGAGGAAGAGAGGGGAGGGAGGGAAATAAGTAGTCGGAGGAGGGTAATGCTGACAACATGTGACATGGAGGTATCTCGAGTACAAGATGCAGAGTGGTCCAGGAATTCGTGAAACGCGGGAAGTAGGAAGAGAGATGGATTGGCTAGACCTCCCGATCCAGAGGGTTATGAGGACTTAAGTTGTACAACCACCCAGGGATTATAATTCAACATTAGGTATCCGTACAGATAGATAGAAAGTACAGTCCAGGCAGCAGCTAAAGTAGGTAGTAGTACAACAAACATTGCTGGTACATCAAGTGACAGTGTTACCAATTTGGAACTTTTCAAAAGTAATCATGGAGAGCAGTAGTGTGAGACCACCTTAACGCTTCACCCATTCGCTGTCCTCTTCCAGCCATGCTTCAAAGTTCTTCAGAACAGGATGCGTCTTCCTTAGACCTTGAATATCAGCCCCATAGCCGTGATCGTAGAACCAGTTGAACATAATCCGCAGATCAGCGACCATCCACATCAATAAGTAGCAAACCACCCGGTATGTGGTTGGCATCGTCTCCCCCGTCTTCGCCTTGAACTTCTTCTGCATTTGTTCAAATGTCAGGTCATCTCCGGCGAGAGAGATACACTGATTCTTGTAGTTTTGTGGCTCGAGGAGAGCCTTGGCTGCAAACACCCCGATATCGCTGACCGCAACACACTGCAGCGGTTTGCCCTGTAGGTAGGCATCCCATGCCGTGGCAATCACCTTGCCTATGAAGCTGGGGACAAGGTTTTCGAAAAAGAACACCGGACGGAGTACAGTCCAGGTCATGGAACCATCCTTGGTTTGCTCAAACAGATGATGTTCGATGTGATGTTTGCTGATGAAATGAGGGATATTGGTTGGGTTATCGGTGGAGGCATCACCACCGCGATCGACGGAGCTGTAGACGAAGTGTCTGACGTCTTGCTTGATGGATTCATCAATCAAGGCTTTCCCTTGGATTTCTTCTTTGTCTACATTTTGACCTTTTGCCATAGGATTCTGTCATGCGTTAATTATTCCTGCAAGTGAAAGTAAAGGTACATGGCTGAATACTACCTGAACACTAAAGACACCAGCAATGGGCCGAGTGGCGAGTTTCTTTGCATTTTCGAAGATCTCGGATGGATGATCAAGGTCGCCCTGAACTAGCTTAATTTTGGGAGACTTTCTGGCAAGCTTCTGCGATGTTCCTGACTGCGGGTTGCGGGTCACGGCGAGGATCTCAACGTCTGCATCCTGCGCCAGCAGAGCATTGATGACCGCACCACCTTGGTTACCAGTGGCTCCAGTGATGAGTAGAGCGGTAGCCATGATTGATAGGATGTATCAGAGTAATTATTCACAACGTTCAGTTATCCAGGGGTAGGATACTAGACAATAACTGAAGACAGCATTCTATGGCGATGCGCATTAAGGCCGGTCAATCTCCCGAATCTGTCATGTTGAGGTCATTGGGTGGCCGCACCCGGAAATGCCTTGCGCACCTGACTAATAAGGCCACCAGTGGTTGACTACTATGTGGTAGAAAAGCCTGGACAATTGGCTGGTTGCTATGATCTGAGTCATGATAGGGTCACTCGGTTTCTTTTCCCTTCTTCTTCTTCTTCTTCTTCACTCATTCTTGGGTCCGACTGAGAACTACACAAAAGCCAGTCCAATCCAGCAATGAGGGCCAGTTACGCAAGGCTGCAGGAAAAACTGTAACATTACCATACCGCCCCACCTGCAAGACAGAAAGAAAAAAGAAAGAAGAATAGAAAATGAAAACGAAAATGTGGGGAAAAAAAAATAAAATAAAATAAAGGAAGGTTGAGGGATATAATCATAACCAGCAGCAATGATGCTAATGCCCAGACATTCAAACGCATCGAATTTTCAAGGCAAAAGTTGTACAGGGCTAGTCTAGAACCCACTAGTAAAGTAAGTACCTCAGCAGATCGACATGGAGAAGCCGCCAGCGTCCGAGGTTATATAACGTAATACCCCGCAAGTAGAGAGGAGATGTTGTGATCCATCTAGACCCCCTTTCTTACCCCATCGACCCGTGACCTGCCCGCATTACACTAGTAGCAACCAGGAGGAAGCTTCCCTCATGGCAAAACTCAACTAGTTGATTAATTATTGAAGGCGGTCATATGAACCTGAAAGGTTTGATTTTCCCCGTGGCCGAGAAAAGTCTCTCTGACTGGTTGATTTAAGTTGACCGGGTGGCTAAACCCGGTTGGGGATGACAAAGAGAAATGGGGAGAAATCACGACACTCGCCTGAAATGGGTTGCAGCTCCACCAGGCTTCTCTCCACCGCAACTGCTGCAATTTGTTTCCACTTTGAACCACATCACCTTCCCCAAGAAATGTGAGTGAGTAAGTAAAAGTAAGTATCACGAATGACTGATCCCGGCTCCATTCCATCCAACCACCGCAGATGCCATTACGTACGGGAAATTCCCCCATTCCTTCTTTCCCCCACAACATTACGTACCGCTCAACATCACGGTGTTAGTTGCTCGTTGTGCAACAAGCAAGGAGTTTCAGGGACATGGGGACTTCCTGTCTCGCTGCTTGGTCTTGGTTGGGGATCGGACGAGAGGAAATGGTACTATACGGATGTTTTTTCCTAATCCTGAGTTCTCAAGGTCCTCTGCCTTGGAACAGACGACTATTGCTGATCTATTAAGGAAAATATGGCTTCACTATGTACATGCAGTGAGACCATTTGCAAACTTTTATTTCACATGCTCGCTGTCTCCAGTGGCCTCTCGTGGGCAATTCAAACAGATGCTCTGGGGTCCGGGGTATTTTCGGGTAGCTGACAAGGGAAAGGACTCCATAAACGGTGCAAACTTTTCCTGAACCAAACGGCGTCTCCAGTCTCCGGGACGCTCAATCTCCTCGCCCATATCACTGCGGTCGGATTGATACTCCTGGCTATTCCTCCGACTTTGTGGGTAGACGCCTCTGTGACTGGGCTTGTAGGGCAAAGGTAAGGGCGACTTGGCCTTTTGCTGCTGCAAGCGTTTGCGAGACCGTTGCAGCTTATCTAGCCCTCGCGCAATCTCATCCTTGTTTCCCTTGAGAGCGTCACTGAACTGGAAGCCGAAGATTGGGTTCACGTGTTCAGGGTCGTCCTCGGGATAGGCGTAGTGGTAATTGTAGTCCCGCTGATGTCTATCCTCACGCCGGATCTCCGCTTCAGTGCGAGGCCGCTGAGGAAGCAAGTGGATGAGATTGCATACATAGAGAGGGAAGTCGTTGGGCGAGAGGCGGAAAAATAAGCGCCCGGTATCGTTGGGATCAATGCGCGACTGGTCCCGTTGTCGAAGGGTATCACGGGCATGGTGGAAGCTGATGGGGTTGGGAGTGGCAGCCTTCTGATTCGGCTGTGCAGATGCCAGGGTCCCCGCTGAATACTCGAAGAATTGTCTGGGGTTCCTTTCCCCCTCGTAGATGACCAGTTGCATGCCCTTCAACTTTAACCGATCCAATTCAAGGAGTCCGCCATCCCAGAAGGTGTCCCTCCAGGTTTGCTCAGCATAGCGGAAGTGGACATCCACAGAGATAGTAGACAAGCCATGGAACGCCAGGCTAATCAAAGAAAGCGTTTCGTTCCATTCGGCCAGATGTGTCTCTACGCTCTGCACCAATGGCATCCGGATCTTGAGATGGGCTATGGAGGTCACCTGCCATGCTTTCAAGGAATAGGTGAAGTTGGCAAAGCTGCCAAGCTCTTGGGTGAAAAAGGTGGCTCGACTATAGGGGAAGTGTCTTGCCTCTTCGTATACCTGACGACAGGTGCGAAGGAAGCCGAGACTAAGCGCCGGATTCCTCTCCAGGGATCTGGGGCAAGGATAATGCCCGGAAGCTATGAGTGGACCATGGCCGACGTAGATGTCACGACTGACTGTTTGGCCTTGTTTTGTTTGACAACCCGGATGTGAACAGAAGCCATCCCAGCTATTTCGATTCGTCTGGTCGGCCATGAACTGTCGCCGGGCTTTATACCAGCATTTGTCGACCGGGCACCAGACAGGAATGGGCCTGCGTTGGATTTCACAAACATCGTTATCATCAAACACCGCCTTATAGATAAGGATCCGGATCTCCGCCGGTAATGATAAGAGGTGTCGCTTGGGGCTTGAGACAGTCAGCAACAACAAGATAAGAAGAGTTGTTGGGAGAAAGTCCCAGGGGAATAGCAATGAGCATACCGATTTGGTTCCATGGCTCATCCAGTGTAAGTTGAAAGTCACGTCAAGAAAGGTACGAAGGTTACTATACCCTTTGGGTAGATAAGTAGGGACGGGAAGGTGACTTGAGATAGTAATGATATGAGAGTATATATAGTATATACTACAAGCTAAAGCTACCCAGGCCAGGGGCAAAGTATCAAGTAGATTGGAAAGAAAACCACAAACCAGCGGTCAAGGAGAAAGAAGCCATTTGGCGCAGTGAATGCTCTGAACGAGTTGCAGGAACCAGGCATTATTTATACAATTTCTGACATAATGGAATTGATCCTTTGGGGGAGGTAAGAAAGAGCAGAAAATGACGCGATGATCCCATTGTTGCAGCAACTCGGAACTGGAACTCCAAAGGCGGTGGGTATTTTTGGTATCCACCCCCGCTTCCATACTAGTACTAGTACTGAAATACTAAATACTAAAAGTAGCCCAATTCACTCCTTCCCTCCGGGAGTGAGCCATTTTTAGTTGATTGTCCCAACGCCAATCTAACACCAATCACGCTGACCCTAAATGCACACTAAACCCGTAGCTCGTGCACCACCAGTCGCACTATCGCTCGAACTACCATGCGTGGTCGCTATCTCAGCCTTTCTCTCAAACAGGGGTCAACGGTTAGCTTGCTGCTCAGCCTCGTCGCTGGTAGAGAGGGTGTAGTGAACAGCCACAATGGCCTCCCTCCATCTCGAGAATAAGGACCATGGACCATGAGGTATAAAGGCGTCATCTAGAACGTCTGGAGGATGGAATCGATAGACTTTTTTACTTCTAAGCTTTCAACTCATCTCATATATTTGCTAGAGAATTTTGTTCTTTGCGCTGCTTGTGTCCTACGTACTTGAACCGCAACCTGCCACTGAGCAAGCGCTTCCTCTTTAGTTGTCTACTGCATACCCGGCCTGCCCTTGCTGCCCATTTGGCACACAACATAATGACACACCATCTCTCCGACATTCTCGGAATCTACCCAGAAAGCCAATCCTGCGTTGGCTGGGCGCCCTCACAGGGCCGTCACTGCCGTAACCCCACAAACGCCAGAAACCGCCGACATGCAGTTTCCCTTCTCGACCAAGGGACCCGCTTGCTCAAAGCCGGCCGGTCTTATGGTCATGTACTGGAGGAGTTGGCTCCTCTCGTCCTCTGCCTACGTTATCACCAGAACCAAGCTGCTGGCCTAACTAATACTTGGGTCTCTCAAGTCGATGAATACATCGCTAAACATCAGTCTCCTCCTAGGAGCTCGCCGAGTAGATCGATGCCTCAGCGGTCACCGTCACCAAGGATGCGTGATGAAACAAGAATCCTAGAGAATAGACTTGCGGAACTCGAAAGGAAGATGCAGGATGCAATTCGTAAGGCAGAGCGAGCGGAGCGGGAGAAAGAGCGGGCGAAGAGAGACGCAGAGCGCACTAGACGAGACACTGAAGACATGGTCAGAAGAAGTGCGGCTATGGGATATGCCCGAGGACAGGAAGAAGCGAGAAGAAGAGCCTCGCCTTCTCCTACTGTTGAGACTGAGACTACTACGGTGGAGCGCAACGAGGCATACGGGTTCCAGAGGAACTCGGAGTCCAGTGGCTTGCTGTCTTCACGGAGGCAGGATGCTCGTGGAGGGAGTGTCGAAACGACCTTGCAAGTCAACACTTCTACTAGCATGAACGTGCAACTACGCAGAAGCACCATTTTTAGCACAACCAGAGTCCAGAGGACAAGCGATGGCCCAGCTACTCCTGCTCAAGCTGAACGACGTGCTGCTACCCCGAGCTCTGTGTCTAGGGTAGTTGAGATCGGTGAAACTAGCGATGTGCTAGCTACTCCATCCCCTGCCCAGCAAAGCAACGGCAATGCAAGCTCCACTCCCAGCATCACGATCACTAGAAGAGCAATTAGCCTTCCTAGCGCAGAAACCGAGTCTGCCAGCACCACAACTACGTCGAACAATGAAGACCGTCCTTCATCCACAACCACCCAAGAATTCGAATCCACTCCTCCTACAGGAACCTCAGAAACCACCACCCCAAGCCATCAACTCCCAAGTCCTCCTACCTCAAACAACGAAGAATCTCGCTCTACCACCACAGACACCCCAGAATCTACGACCACCCAAGACAACACCACCCAGCCTACCCCTACCTCTACCTCCACCTCTACCCCCAGCACCTCCCTACACCCCCATCAACCCCCCCTCCCTCCACTCCACCCACCATCTCAGAATATGGCATCACCCGCCACCCCATCGAAGGCGACTGTTGCATCTGCCTCTGCGCTCTACAAGAGGAGTCTACCCAACACAACCATACCTCTGATGACGACACCTCTCTCGTCTGGTGCCAGAAGCAATGCGGAAATAACTTCCACCGCGAGTGTATGGACCGGTGGATAGCTTCAGCGCTTGACGGTGATCGGCAGACGAGTTGTCCGATGTGTCGGGGGAAGTGGTAGTGGTCTTTCTTCTCTCTTGAGTCGTGGTTTTGTTGGTTGGTTGGTTGGTTGTTTGTTTGGTAGTAGGGTCGGAGTTTGGGATATATCCCTGTTGGTTATTGCATGAGTTATGACTTATGACTTATGATTTTATGATTTGATTTAATGTGATGTGATAACCTTGGTTATATTTGTTTGATTTTTGGTGTTGGTGTTGGTGGGTAATACAATAGCTTAATGACTAGCTCGTTGATACTATTTGTATTGAGGCTTACGAGTTGCAGTTTATTATCATGCAGTGTGCGTGATAGTATGGGTTTTAAGCTCGTAGCATATAGATAGAGACCATTCCTTCAGTTTACTTGTTCATTTATGACTACTGCTTACTTCGGCTATGTAGTGTGATTATCAGTCTACAGAATATGATAGGGACAGAACAGAAGGATTTGAACCTGTGGGTTGAATATCCGTTTGCAATAACCATAACCAAAACTGACAATTCATAACAATTATACTGTCAGATATTATCGAACCCTTTGAACCAATAACTCTAATAACTCAAGGTGAAACACCAAGTCAAATTCTCAGGCTGTCACTGATATCATCGCCATCACTTTCGCATAAAAAACCCGAAAGATAATCGATTAGCAGTGAAACAGAACGCATGCATCCATGGGTAATTTTTGTGTATATATAGTATAAATAAGACCCGCAACAAGACCGAAATATGAACTTGGTAGGTGCTGAGTCATCGAACCCCCATATACTGCCATCGATGGGGTATCACCATCGCTCATCGCACGCAGGAGTCATAGCGGATACGGCACCCCAGTACTGTCTTGAATAGCTTCTGTTATAACTTTCAGGATATTGCGACGGTGGGGACTGAAGGACTGTATTTAGAACATCGTGGCGCGGCAACCTGTACTCGCGGCGGAAAGAGATGCCCGACGTGTCCACCGGGTTATACTGCGAATATTCTGTCCGATGAGTCTTGCGCGGTGCGGATGGTGGAGAATAGCGTTGGGGGATGATCAGATGAGAAGGTGTGCAAGGAAGCAGCGTCGAATACCATTGCTGGTTGGGCGGAGTTGTGGCACCGTTCGATCGATAAACAGGTGCAGCCTCGCCCTCAATCCCTGCCTTGGTCAATTGGGGGGTTGCCTTGAGATAGCCTGGCTGTTGACTAGGTGGTGGGCTATTCAAGTCGGATACACGCAATGGGGCTTCTTTTGGTCGTGGGGCCCGATGTGGTGAGCTGAAAGGAGAGCCAAGGGGACGGGGAGATTGCACCTGGTCAGTCTCTGTGTCCGAATCACTCGCATACCACGATTGGTTTGCAACAGGTATATCCCCGTAGCTCCCTGACTCTGGACTGCGAATCGGGGTGGAAGGCGGGCGACGAGCACGAAATTGTTCGTTTGATTTCTTCAGGAAATCTTCATATCCTTCCAGCGTTTCCATCATGTTGATCGGTGGATGGATCTCTGATTCACTACTAGCCAGATCCCTCATTTTCAGAGTTTGGCTGGCAGACATCGGTTTCGGTGCCGGGGTAGGGGTCCCCAGTCGTGGCGGTTGGTTCACATGCACGAAGTTGTCACAACCATCGGGTGGTGTATTCTTCTCATTCAGGCACATCTCCATATAGCTGTGCACAATTGGGACACCTGCGTTTTGACCCTCCAAAACGACATATTCAGAATCGGAGCAGTCTGAACAGTTGGTGTCCACCTTGGCAAGTTTACCCTCACATGGACGACACTGGTAAAAGGGACCTTTCGGCAGAAGGTCATGGACAGTGGTGACCTTGTGGTCAGGAGGGTTCTTGGTGCCCTCGCGCATTGCATTCATCATATCAACACAGATGTCAAGGCTGAAGTTTGCAATATGGCCACAGTCAGGGTTGTTGTGGAAGGTATATTGGCACATACTGTTTTCTTGGGGTCTGAGGCGGATTTGGCCTTTATAGGATGCTTTGGAAGATTTGGAGCAATTGTAAACGTTTCAAGCCGTTGCACACATAGGGATTTCAAGGACGCTTATATGTCTGCGATATGTAGGAGGAGACAAAGTAAGAGAGCAAGACCATTGCGTTCTTGTAGAAATTCCGATCATTAGCCATAACGTTGTCGGAATTTGGAGCTAGTCGATACGGCATGTTTCCCTCATGATCGTTCACTTTGATGGGACAAATCGAGTATCAATCATCCTCCAATTCTGCATCCAAGTCGGTCAGATATTTGACTCCGGAATCTAACAGCCACCATGCGGCCAGTTCATGAACGAACCGAAGCACTGGGTTTTCAAGTGGCATTGTGGCGCGCTCTGGTTCATCCGCCTTTGTCCACATCGCAGTTTCACTGGCGAAAACAACGTCCTTGTCCTCCTCCCAGAACCGGATCACCAATCGCCCATCCACCCCTTTGTAGGTCATCCCGAATTCTACTTTGTTCGCGGTTCGGTCTAGGACACGGTATATTCCGCAGATAACATCGCCCTTGTTGAAATCCAGCGAATCAATATGTGACGTATGGAACGTTGGGCGTTTTGTGGCTGGACTGATCAGCCATAGCATATAGCACTGAGGGAAGTGTGCGAAAGCTGTCATGTTGCGACGCAAGAGAATGGTCAGGATTTCAGCGTCTTTCTTGCGGGGAAGCAGCTGGCGAGGCACCCGGCGGTTAGCTCGATCGTGGAGAGCATAGTATTCTGGTGTGTAAACTTCGGAGGGAATCGTGGATATGGTGGAAGAAACCGATTTGGAGAGTGTACCGCAATGCGTCTCATGGTGGATTCGGTTTTTGAGACAACGGTGGAGAAAAGTCAAATATGTGATGGTGCTGAGGGAAGCAGCGAGCACAAAGGATGAAACGGAGAGGAAGGAGGGCATTTTAATCAAATGGTGAGCGCCTAAGGCTCCTTCCGTGCGACCAGCGGCAGATTATTATGGGAAAATACTGAGTAGTTTGAAGTTATAGAAACATGCATCTGACATATTTTTGCGACCTTTCAAGCGCATCAGTCAATCTTTTAAGAAGACTGGAGTTTTCCTACGAACCTTATTCTGTGCTGATGACGATCAACCCGAATACGAGATCCGTTGCCATCTGAACCACTTGCAGTCCTATCATTGGCGCAACTGCTGGTCCCATGCGGATGTGGCCCATCCAAGCCGTGGCAGCTCTTTCATAGCAGTTACTCTAGGTGATTCAGTCCGATTTGTCCCCAGAAATGTACAGTTAGTTCTTCTGAGATCACCATAAAAGTCTAAGTGTTGAAATATCATCCAGTTGGGATAACATAATTGGCAAAATTAAAAAGTATGTATTCAGTATATCCTTTCTTCCCATCCAACTAAGACTCTGTACCCTTATGCCAACACAGTCCAAGCAATCCATTAAATCAACGCAATCCGTCAGCGCCCAGATCCACCAAAAGCACGAGCGGGTATCCTTGACGGACGGACAAAAGGCACACAAAGATAAGGAGAACGTGCGTATCGATCGTTGCAGCGACGTAGCCAGCCCGAAAAATCGTATCCTTTTCATCCTTCCATTCTTCTTCCTCCAATACTCTCGTATCACAGCATCATCGGTCGGACCAGCCACAGGTTCAAGCTTCGACCTCATATGACTGTTTGGCTGCTTTTCGTGCCATGCATTTTCGGTAGATGAAGAGTGCGATAATTCCCACAGCAACGATGAAGACGATGCAGAAGACCAAGACCACACCCGGGTTCTCGCCGGCCCAGTTGCTTCGTTTGATCACTTGGTGTCGTGCTTCGAGGGCGAGGAGGTCGATAGCGGCCATGATCTACTTCCTATTAGCTTACCACACAGAATCAATCCTCCTCAAAGCATGTGCAACTCACGAACAACGACCGCGCGGCTTCAGTGAACGAGGACTGATCAAGACAGATTGAGGATGCCCACGACCTGCGAGAACAACGGCACGGGAAGTAGAGATGATATGACACGAGGAGAATAAAGGGAAGGGAAGAGTTGGACGGGCGGATGAACAACCCTGGTTACTGGTAGGACTGGCTGCATCGGGAGCAGCGGAAGGTCATGACAGCAAAGATCGCAATGACGTGAAGGAGGGCACATGCATGCAACGCTGGATGGGCTGGTCCACGAAGCTTATTTCTGACAGGAGGGTAACTTGGTAAGCCGAACTCGGGACGCTCAAGGGTCAATCAACACACAACAGCTCGAAGTGAAGCCATGCGAGGCAGTCAATTGGCGCGGCAGCACTCCGGACAGGGAGATGTGTAGTCTCCCCACCTCCAGTTACACAGAAGCCATTCGCAACCGTCAATGCCCATTCCTAACAATTTACTCTCAAGATGCATGCCATCTAACGCGTATCGCGATGCCTGACCATAAAGGAACAGTCATGAAATCAATTGTGATCAAGGTTTGGCGATCCGCTCGTCCCGCTGGCGTCACCACTCTTTCACGGCCATGGTTCTCTACCATGACTCGGCCTCCCGATTCGTGCCCGGCTGTAGTGGATGCAGGGTAAATGAGTCGTGGACAGGAGAATCGAGGATTCATCCATAAGTGACGGCTCCAGCTTTGTTGATAGAAAATCTAGAGAACAGGCCCCTTCTCGTGTTCGCCGGAGGAACGTTCTTGACGTCATACATCTGGTCCGCGCTCTTATCTAATCGGTCCCTTCCCAGCATTGCTAATTGCAACGAGACATGGATTTACTACTCGCGTGACTTGGGAGAGCCAAAGAAGCCTTCCGGAATCAATGTCCTTTGACGCCAGAAGATGTGTACTGTAGAAAGATCCAGGGTCCAGCCATTAGGGCTAAAATAAACGGTCCACTTGGGTCCAGTTCTCGTATGCGGCCTATCATGGCTGATTAACGGGCCCGCAGAAGATGATCAGCAGTTCGAGATAGTAACTGAAAGGTTTGCGACCGCTTCGGGAATTGCCCAATCGGGTACTTGTCCTTCAGCCATAGAGATCCCGATTTAATTGTCCAGTTCGGTCTGCCACATGCGAGTATGCGCAGAGGTACTCCTAAGTGCTTGGTCAATGTCACTTCGGTCATGTGAAGCTCGCAAAACCAACTAAGTTTAGAGCTCAAGGCAGAATCGTAAGCTTGAGAATGACCTAAGAGGTTGGTTTCCTTCTAACATGTTGTGTTTGATTGCTTATTTCCCACAGGTTAAGCATCAAACATCTGCACCTACACGCAGACGATAAAAATAAACGTTTCCCAATTATCACAACTAATATCCAAGGGTATGGTAATAGACTCCTAGTGGTATCACATGAAGCACGCGCGAAATAAAGAAAGAAAGAAAAAAGGCATAGGCAACAGCATAATAAACCCCCATTACTCCTTCGAGCCAGGCCGATGCACATCCGTGCGTCCACTATTATGCCATGTAGCCAACAAGACACCACAATTACCACAGTAATGACATTGGTTTTTCAGCGACGACATCATATATGGAATACATCCTAAACACAGGCAGCAGCAGAGCACTGCGGCCCAAGCACTGTGGACACATTATCAGTTCAGTCCATTATTGTGAAAAACTGCGAACACATACTGAGTTGAACTGCCCGTTTCGGCCTCCACGCGAGTCATTTTCCGCTCTCCGCAGGCCGGACAGTCGACAGGTGCCGGCGTTTTCTGCAGTGCATACAGCGGAGTCGGAGTATTATAGCCGCTCGGGTGTTGAGAACCTGCGTAGAAGGTCTGCTGGGGCTGATGCGGTTGGATCTCAGGCGTCTGTTCGATAGGAGGTTGCGCATATGCAGGCATATCTCTAGAAGAAAGCTCGTGGGTTTCGGTTTGTTGTTGTTCCTCGTAGGTAGTAGGAACTGCTGCTGGTAGTAAAGTTAGTTGGAGTACATGATGCACTTTCTTTTTAGGGTGAACGCACGAGGGTTTGCTTTCTCGGCCATTGTGATAGGGTACAGTTGAGTTCTGAATAAATTTCTTCAGCTAGTGTGTATTTTAGAGAAAAACATCTTAGTTATTCCCATCCCAGGGCGCATTCTTATAGTTGTACAAATTTAGATTGGAGGCTCAAAGCCTCAGTCTGAGCCAACGCCTAGAATTATTTGTGGAACGCATCGCGAGCCACTTGGATACGAGACATATCTTATTTGCTCGTGCTCCGGTGACCTTCTGGGATGAGACACATATCGATCAATCATTCGTGGGAAGGAGATCCACGCGATTGGCAGGGGGGATGAAGTGGCCGTTGGGCTCGCGGGACGAGGCTGAGATTGCGCCTAATTACTAGGCAAACATTGGTCTGGGGAAAGGCTCTCACGCCAATGGTTCAGGTAGGGGCGGGAAACTCTGGGCATTCCTTCGTGGCTAGGATTGCAGGGCAGTGCCTTCTTGATCTGCAGTGAACAGAGTAGCCTTGTGAGTTGTGGCAGGGAAAGGTAAAAAATACGAGGGGCGCTGCCACGGCCAAGATTGTACCATACTAAGTCCCAACTCAAGAATGACGGGCGCTCATCCTTCAATTTAGTTTGAACTTCTGAAACTTGGCGAGGTCATGATTTGGGTCTACTGGAATGCTTTGACGTAGTTTCCTGCAATTTTACCCTGTGATGTCTTTGACGGTTTCGAAAAGTTGGATAACCTCATCATGGGTATGATTCTCGGTTCTGCTTTCCTTTTGTCGGTGTTTGCTTCGACATCATCCACATTTCTGATTTGGGGGCCATTTATGGAGGTTTGAACAAAAGAAAGCTCCACCCACAACGTAGCAGTGAATGTGAATGAGACAGCACAAGCTAGGATAGTTCCTGCCGTTACTCATCGGAAGTTAATTCCTTGCGATCGACACTTGCCTTCCCCTTTGATTTCTCTCTCTCTCTCTCTCTCTCTCTCCTCCATGAACAAACACATCAACCATTCTCTGCACCTCACTCCTCCAGTTCAATGAAAACAAGATGTATTTGTTCCTGGAACTGTTCACCACTGTATATACAGCTTGAAGGGTCAGCTGCTTAAAAACCCGTTGCTGGAGTCCAGCGAATTGACTCCGATGAGTCGCGTTTTCATGTCTTAGGGCGACGATTTACCCGTCGGTTGACGATGCTTTGGCGAAGCTCACTCGGATTGACATGCCGGGGTATGTAGCATTTCCGTGTCTACTCTGGCAAGTGAGTTGTTCTTCTTGACTGGCGAAAAAAACCCTGTGCTGACTGCGACCGTGATCCCATATAGCCAGGCCACAGAAGATGTCATGGCATCCGGCCAGCAGCCGGAGCAATCTCGCGTCCCCGGGTGCATCCGTATCCAGAGCTACGGTAGTCTGAAAAACGTGCCAGGACTTATCTCCCCGACTCGGTCAGATGTTCGTCACTGGCCGGTCGGGGTCCTGCGTGGTTATATGAGTCGTGCCCAGCTCTCTTCTACAGTAGAAGTCTGCGCGTTGCGCGTCTGGTTGGCTTGTTGGATGTCATTCTAAAATGCTCGAAGGCTGTCCGAGCACATCAATTGTGTTCCGTACTTCAGACTCTTAGGACCTTTTGGTCTCTAATGGACATTCTAGGTGGGCATTCAGTCTTGACCATTCTGAGCTGTCTCTGCACACTCTGGATTTTTTTGAACTAACAGTGAAACTAGGTGGTATGGGGGGGGGGTTTTCGCAAGGTTTAGGTTTCTCTCAGATCATGGTGTGGAAGATACAGAATTCAACAGAATCCCTCTATCCACCTCTGTATTTCCTGTATTCCTAGGTCGCTATAATCAATACTGGTCTTTGCGAATTCTGCGTTGACGTTTACACTCAAGATTGAGATGCTAAACTTCGGCCCTGATATTGCCTGCGTGTCTTTGTGCTTCCTCCGAACCGTTCTCTTTCAATACTCCGATGTCTAGAATGATACAGGAGGGTTAATAGATCCGCCTGCATGATGGCATAGCTCTAGGTGAGCAAACTACACATGCGATGAGGTAATTGCCAACAGAATGTCATGTTACTCTCCCCGGTCGGCTGCCACTTACAATCGGGCTTCAAAGCTAACCAAAACATGCTGTATGGAACTTATATGTTGCACGCTGTTTGGAATGCTGATGGTCGCTTACGCAATTCTAGTCGCTATACAAGCCGCTTGCTTTCCGTCTACTGAACACTCCAAGCCTAATTTCTGTACGCATTACGACCTGAACGACAAATGACCAAATAGCGTAAGTTATGTGTTTGCTAACCTGATATCTCCGATGCATGGACGCTATTAGCGGATAATACTTGTGGTTTATGCTGAAATTTGGGCCCAAGCACCCATAAATTTCATCCCATGCGAGCAATGTTCTACAGCCACAATTACTGCTGTTGCCGTCTGTTTTTCATGAGAGCATGATAGAGATCAGCAGCATCATTTTACCGTCAACGATAGCGATGGATCGGAAAGTGGACGGGACTGTCAACGGACCTGCCGATCATCAACTCGTGATACCTCATACTATCGGCTTCAACAACGACCGACGGAGCGCCAGAAAAACTCGGGGGTCCTTCCCTCGGGGCAAGGGTTTCGGAGGATGTCCCAAGCTCGGAGGAGACATGTGTAAAGGTGATGCGACTAGCAGTGTTCAGGGTTCCACCAGCAACTGTGTTGATCGGACCGCCTCCGAACCCCCCACGGTATCCCCCACGTCCTCGGACTTCACAGCGACCCATTTCCCCTCCATAAATGGTGTCGGTCCACACGACAAAGATCACAGCTCAAGAAGCTAAAGCACATAATTGGAATTGAAGATGTCTAAACCAGTCATTGGCTTTGTCGGCCTCGGGGCCATGGGCTTCGGCATGGCCACCCACCTTGTCCACGAAGGATACCCTGTTTACGGCTACGATGTCTTTCCAGCATCGGTGCAGCGATTTCAAGCTGCGGGGGGCACACCCGCCTCCTCGCTGCGTGAATCGGCGGAAGGAAAGCCTTTCTACGTCTGCATGGTAGCATCGGCGCCACAGGCGCAGACCGTCCTCTTCGGAGATGAGGGCGTTGTGCAATGTATGTACATACCTAGCCATTGATTCCCTCAGGCTAACATGCTAGACCTTCCTCAAAATGCAACCCTCCTCCTTTGCTCTACCGTCGCCGCCTCATATGCACAATCTGTCGCAGCAGAACTCGCCTCTCGAGGTCGATCAGATATCCACTTTGTTGATGCGCCAGTCTCGGGAGGTGCGAAGCGCGCCGCGGATGGCACCCTCTCCATCATGGCGGGCGGTGCTGACTCTGCGCTACAAATTGCGCGCGATTTGCTGCAGACTATGTCTGCCCCAAGCAAGCTCTATCTTGTCCCTGGAGGAGTGGGTGCCGGCAGTAACATGAAGATGGTACATCAGGTGCTGGCTGCCATCCACATCTTGGGTGCTAGCGAGGCTATGGGATTCGCGGCGCATCTAGGCCTGGACGCAGTGAATACAGCAGAGCGTATTAAGAGTTCAGAGGCGTGGACCTGGATGCACGAGAACCGTTTTCCTAGGATGGTGGAAGAAGATTGGAATCCTGGGGCAAGTGCGCTGACAATCATCTTGAAGGATGCCGTAGGTTGCACCTGCCCCTGCCATTGCCACGCGTGCTGACCTTATCAGGGCATCATTACTTCCTCAGCCCGTCAGAACAACTTCCCAGTTCCGCTCTGCGCAACTGCAGAGCAGATCTACCTCTCCGCCCTTGTACAAGGTTACGGCCCCAAGGATGACTCGGCTATGATCCGCCAGTACTACTCGCGTCCGCTCAAAGACCTCGATACTTCTTCGGCGAGCGAAGATCCAGAAACCGCTGTAAAGCTCGTGCTTGATCTCATGCAATGCGTAAACCTTGTCGCGGCTGCAGAGGCCATCGCTTTCGCACGGTCACTAGGTGTCGATATGGCGCAATTCTTCGAACTCGTCAGCGACGCAGCCGGTGGAAGCAAGGTATTCGTCACGAGAGGACTGGAGATGATTGAAGGTAAAATTGGGGTACAGGCACCAGCTGGCTCAGAAACTCTGGATGCGGTGGTGAGTCGGTTAGAGAAGGTGGTGCAGAAGGCGCGGGACATGCACTGCCCGCTCCATCTCGGCAACGCAGCACTGAACGTATTATTGATGTCCAAGGGCCAAGGGTATGGGTCGGAGGCCAGCACCAGCGTAATCCGTGTTTATCCGTAGACTTAGCCGCCGAAATAATCAGAATTTAATATCATCAGGAATGATCTCATAAGGATCGGAGCAACTCCGGCTGTAAATAGTGGAGTCAACATCAACCATTCCGTCGCGACAGAACTATAAGACTAACCCTTCACACATACTCACACAACTAATCTACTTCTTCAATACCCCCATTCATCATTTACATCCCCTTCCTCTCAACCAACACACCACCACCACCACCACCACCATGCCCCTCCCCAACAACCGCGCCCTCCCCATCCTCGACCACGCCTACCAGCACCACTACGGCGTGCCCGCCATGTGCTGCTACAACCTGGAAGGCATCCTCGCGACCGTCCGCGCCGCCGAAAAGCACCGCTCCCCGGCCATGATCCTCCTCTTTCCCTGGGCCCTGCACTACGCAGGCTCCATCCTCGTGCACGCCGCCGCCGAAGCGGCCCGCAACGCCAGCGTCCCCATAACGGTGCACCTCGACCACGCGCAAACACCCGAAATAGTGCGCCAGGCCGCAGACATCACGCCCGGGTTCGACAGCATCATGATCGACATGTCACACTACGAGAGAGCCGAGAACCTCTCATTAACGCGCGAACTCGTCGCCTACTGCCACGAGCGGGGCATCGCGACAGAAGCCGAGCCCGGGCGTATCGAGGGCGGGGAAGACGGCGTCTCGGACACTGCGGACCTGGAGGGAGTGTTGACGACCCCCGAAGAGGCGGAGGAGTTCGTCAACACGGGAATTGATTGGCTGGCTCCGGCTTTTGGGAATGTGCATGGGAGTTATGGGCCGAGGGGGATTAGGTTGGAGTATGACCGGTTGGAGAGGATTAGGGAGAGGGTGGGGGATAGGGTGAGGTTGGTGTTGCATGGGGCGGATCCGTTTGATAAGGGGATTTTTGATCGCTGTGTTGGGGCTGGGGTTAGTAAGGTGAATATTAATAAGGTGTTGAATGGGGAGTGGGTGGGTGTTATGGAGAGGAGGGCTGGGGAGAAGGGGGTCGGGGTGATGGGGTTGGTGGAGGAGGCTACGGCTAGGATGGAGGAGGCGGTTGGGAGGTGTATTGAGGTTTTGGGCTCGGGGGGGAGGTATTAATTGTTTTCTTTTGGTACTAAGTTAGTTGGCTTTGGGTTGTGAGGTGTGGTTTGGTTTTTATACTTACTATATCTCATGTGGTTGTTGCTCTATCTTAGTATATATACTTAGATTGAGTGGGATTATCTTGAATGATTGTTGGTGATAGGAATTGAAGTACTGCTAGTATCAATTAGTAATAGAAGATTTCGTCTTTACTATGGGTTATGTACTTATCTTGAGATGAGAGAACATGACTAGTAGTACTGTGTAGTATGATGCTTCACAATCATGATGATGTTGGGTACTGGTGGCAGAATATATAGTAAGTTGGACTGGCAGAAACCAGGTCTAGACCATCTGATTCTCGAGGGGTTCTACTTAGCATTTACAGTATTGAGATCCAATTGAATATTGTGGATTGCGTGCTACATTATTGAAATCACGGGGCATACCTTTTAATTTATATAATATATGAAGGGCCGAGTTGACACAGCCTGATAATTATCACCAGTACTCTACATATTCCTACGCTAGATCATCACAAGTATATACTCAATTGATCACTGGCTGACCGCCATGGCTATAAATCACATTCACAATTTACACCTATTGAAACACATCCGACATGAAAGACCTCGGGGATAGAGGGAATAAAGCTCAGACACGAATTAACCAAAAAGAAATGGGATAGGAAAGAAGGAAAAATACCCAGCCACACAAGACGTAATGCACAAAGAGAAAGCAATTCTTTTTAGATCTCGTGTCACTTCTCTAATGAGCAGTCATCATCTTCTTGATCTCCGCAATGGCCCGTGCGGGGTTCAGGCCCTTGGGGCAGGTCCGCGAGCAGTTGAGAATGGTGTGGCAACGGTACACGCTCATGCTGTTGTCGAGAGCAGCCTTACGCTCGGCGGTCTTCTCGTCACGGGAATCGGCCAACCAACGGTAGGACTGGAGGAGGATGGCGGGTCCAAGGTACTCCTCGCTGTTCCACCAGTACGAGGGGCAGGAGGTGGAGCAGCAAGCGCACAGAATGCACTCGTACAGACCGTCCAGCTTCTTACGCTCCTCGGGGCTCTGGCGGTTCTCGAGACCCTATACACTTATCAATAAAAAAAGCCCACGTCGCAGCACACGCTGTCAATACTTACATCCGCGGTCGGGGTGTCGCGCTGCAGGTAAGGCTTGATCGACTTGTACTGCTTGTAGAAGTAGGTCAAATCGGGGACCAAGTCCTTGACGACGTAGGTGTGAGGCAGAGGGTAGATGCGAGACTCCTTGGCGGTATCGGTGGGGATACGGCCTATACAGCAAATGGTCAGCGCCACCGAGCCGGGACATCGCACTAAGCACTCTAGGATAACATACACAGGCAAGCCAGGGTGTTGACACCGTCAATGTTCATCGCGCAACTTCCACAGATACCCTCTCTGCAACTTCTCCGGAAAGTCAGGGTGGGGTCCATCTCGTTCTTGATGCGGATCAGGGCGTCCAGCATCATGGGACCGGTCTTGTTCAGATCCAGGGAGTAAGTCTGCATCTTGGGCTTCTCGGTGGGCTGATCGGGGTTCCAGCGGTAGACATGGAAAGTCTTGACCCGGGGCTGCTCCGAGGGGTTGGGGTCCTGCACATTCGAAGTCTTAGATTCGGGGATGGTCTTGCTGCTCGCGTGGCCGCTTGCGCTCACCTGGGAAAGGGCGTCAACGGTCGCATAGGAGCGAGTGAAGGCGGCTGGGCGGAACAGCGGCTTCGAGGAAGCGAACAGGCGCGAGGTCGTGCGAAGGGCAGCCATTGTGGGCGGTCGAGAAAGAGATCACGGTCGATCGGGGGGGCGAGGGATCTACCAGATGGCGAAAAATAGGATATGCGCGAGTAGGAGAGGTCAATGAGACCGAAAGAATGTCGATTGCGGTGGAGGGAGAGGAGAGAGGCCTGAAAGAAGAGCAGCCAGCCAGCGGCAACGACAAACGAGGTCCAAGGGAGGCACGAGGAAGTGAAGTCGATCGGTTCTGGCGATGTTTTGTCGCCTTTGGCAGCTCAAGGTAACCTCGGGTCTGGCGGCCGGCAAATGGCTGACTCAGCTCATGCTGGCCAATCACGCAAAGCCTAATTGCAAGCGTCGGGGATACACGGCGAGGCACTGGATTGAATATAATTCCACTCAGTGACCTTGAATCGGAAGTCAATTGAAGCCGATTTGATTTCAGTCCGAGTAAGTAGCTTGACGAGAGCAGACATAGCGTCTCTTACTGATATATAACCCCACTGTCCTCTTCTACGTCCGTGTAACTCGAGTATGCTCGGCCAACAGGCAATATCCCAAAGGGGAAACGGAGCCGAAATCATTTGCCGTTCCGAAATATTGATGCCTAAGGCTGTAAGGCAACTAAAATGCAGCCATCAATATCAGGCGACAAGGCATCAATAGTCTAAGGCTCCAAGGCAGAAATTAGAGGTATCAAGGCCACAAGGCCTCAAGGCCATAAGGCAACAGGGCAACAAGAGACACGATATCAGGCATCAAAACTATCCCCAATTGGGCATCTCCACCATTCTAATCTCATTCTCGTCTTGGTGGAATTCCACTCACACTTGCTTCCTTCGTGTGCGGTAGTGGAATTATGCATCACCCGCACTTTATCACATTGCAGTAGCCTGCATCGGTGGCCCATCAACATGCAGAAAAATGCCGGTGGCGGCCTGGGAATGACGAATCTATATTACTCCTGCATGAAGTCTCCCGCCATGCGGATATCCATCCCCGACTGTGTTTTGCCGGTTGACTTTCTACATCTCAACTCCCCTCAAAGCATTGATGGAAGATTGCCCTTTTGTTCCGGCATTTTACGGAATGAACTTGTTTACTATAACCAAAGTAAAGGACCACCACCGAGAAAGCTCGACATTTGAAGTCAACGATGGCCTTGGTGAGGCTAGAACCAACAAGTCTCTTCCGGGTGGTTCCGAATACCCCTTGGTCATTTACTCAGGCAATAGATCACCAACCTACTTTCTGCAATAATATCATGCGAGCTCATGATTGCTCCCACCCTCAACTCGTGATGCTGTCCAAGAGCGGGGTTTGGCTGCCACTTCGAGGACTAGCCAATCCAATGGGCGCAGCACTTGCAAGCGGCAGGTATCGTATTCAATATCAGGGAAGTCATCAGAGGTAAACATGACACCCTCGGGGAAGTTTCTGGTTTCGGTTAAGCATAATCTTGAGTGTCAACAAGTCCACAAGTCCACAATTAACCCCTATCGGGCGCCCGGTACCCAAGCGTCTGATCGTAGCTGGCCTAGTTCGATAGTAGCTCCAACTGGGGTGATGTTACGGTCCTTGTCAAAGGGCGAGTGGTACCGCGATGTGGCTCACCAGGTTCTAGACAGGCTAGACAGAGCAGATAGATGGGGGTTTAATTAGACTACCACCCCATATTGTCTGTTTCGGTATCTTCTTTTGGCGTGGAATAAGCTCCTTCTACGGCTTCGAAGCTTGATGAGCCAAGACGCCGTAATCCAAGCTTAACAGCAAAATGTCTCAGTATAGTGTGCAGATGGACCGAAAGTATGATTGATAGGGGCAACGTTACCCCATTCCCCCTTCCCCCTGATTCGTGATACGAATGAGTGGTAACTGATGCCTACGGAGTCCGACATTTTCCCACCTTATCGTGACCACTCAGCCGTCCAGGCTAGATGACAAAATCATCAGTCAGTCAAGTAGGTCGATACTAAATTTGGTTGGCTAAAATTCTGCACTGGAGTCGAAAGTCGAGGAGTAATGGCTGCTCGGCCGTCGACTTAATGGGTGGTCACTGGTGTATTGCTATCACCGAAATCCGAAGACGGTTCCACTGTGGACCACTTGGCCGGCGTTCCTGGCGCCTTACCAAAAACGCCTAATTCGTTTTTTCTCTTCTTTATTTCGCGCAGCTTTTCCAGCTGCTCTCATTTGACCAGAAGACCGACTAAAGATAGAGAGAGGCGTGGGGAGGTACTGAAGCCATTAATAATCGAAATCAAATTGGTCTCAGTGGAATTCAAGGAAGTAGAACTCTTCAAAGCTGCTGGAATATTCGGTGATGCAGAATCGCCCCCTCGCTTCCCCTCTTGTTCTTCACCAGTGATGAACAGCCCTAACTGTCAAGCACGTCCATCCAGCCTTCCATCCGCAACATCCTCAAACTACTAGCTACACCCTGATGGTCGAATTCGGTATTTTCCCGACTATCATTGCCACAAGGACTCTGCCAAGACGGAGGAATTGCTTCTTTACAGAATTTCAATCGCGAGGCCCACCAGCCCGAGTGGATGGACTACTTTAGACTACCGAGACTAAGTGCGCCGGCGCGGGCATCATGAAACGCCGTAAATCCCCCGACTCATTCCCAAGGTCCACCTATGACCTTCAATAGCCAGGCAGCAAGCACAGTGGACCATCCAGCTCACTGTCCACGAACAGGGGTCATCACCGCGATGGACAAACCATGTGGCTACTAGTTACTCCTCTCTCCCCTTCCAATCTTGGTTGTCATCGATGCCTATTACTCCATCCATGGTCCGATATGATGGATCCCCTTCGACCACCTGCTCGGTCAGTACCGACTTTAGCGCCGGTGGAGTGACCGAGAAGAATCAACGGTTTGGCTTGATAGCCCTTGGCTACTAATCATAGATGCACTTGGCCGTTTCATACTGATCATCCGTCCAATTTACCCAGAATGGGTCTGAGCCAAAGGCGAAGCTCTATCAGATTCTTGTCAGATGCTTCCGTCAACCTGACGAGTCAGTCTTTCCTATAAAAAGCCCCAATTCCATCCCGGTTGAGCTCTTCTGTATCAAACCATTCCTTCCTTTCCTTTCCTTTCCTTTTCTCTACATACCTCTCTCTTCACTTTAGTCTTTCTTTCCCCTTCTTAGCTGGTTCTAAACAGTTCACCATGAAGTACTCTACTATCTTCAGCGCTGCTGCCGCTGTTTTCGCTGGTTCCGCCGCTGCCGTCGGCGTGTCCGGCTCTGCTGAGGGTTTTGCCAAGGGCGTCACCGGTGGTGGCGATGCCACCCCCGTCTACCCCGACTCTATCGATGAGCTGGTCTCCTACCTCGGAGACGATGAGGCCCGTGTCATTGTCCTGACCAAGACCTTCGACTTCACCGACAGCGAAGGTACCACCACTGGCACTGGTTGCGCTCCCTGGGGTACCGCGGCCGCTTGCCAGGTTGCTATTGACCAGGACGACTGGTGCGAGAACTACGAGCCCGATGCTCCCTCTGTCAGCGTTGAATAGTATGTCCTTGCCTGCTGTCATCCGTTTTTGATCTCGCATCTAACTTGAATAGCTACAACGCTGGTATCCTGGGTATCACCGTCACCTCCAATAAGTCCCTCATCGGTGAGGGCTCCTCCGGTGCCATCAAGGGCAGGGGTCTCCGCATTGTCAGCGGTGCTGAGAACATCATCATCCAGTAGGTTACACTCGGTGTCATTAGGAAATTGCTCTAACGAAATCAGGAACATTGCCGTTACCGACATCAACCCCAAGTACGTCTGGGGTGGTGATGCTATTACTCTTGATGACTGCGACCTGGTCTGGATCGACCACGTTACTGTAAGCCTTCACTTCTTCACTTTTACCTAGATCAAGAGTATCAAGTTAACGAATGACAGACCGCCCGCATTGGTCGCCAGCACTACGTCCTCGGAACCAGCGCCGACAACCGCGTCTCTCTCACCAACAACTACATTGACGGTGTTTCCGAATACTCCGCCACCTGCGATGGCTACCACTACTGGGCCATCTACCTCGACGGTGACGCCGACTTGGTCACCCTGAAGGGCAACTACATCTACCACACCTCCGGCCGTTCCCCCAAGGTCCAGGACAACACTCTCCTTCACGCTGTAAGTTCTATCGCTGCCGGTCACTTTCGACTTTAACTAATCACCACCACAGGTCAACAACTACTGGTACGACATCTCCGGCCACGCCTTCGAGATCGGTGAGGGTGGTTACGTCTTGGCTGAGGGCAACGTTTTCCAGAACGTCGACACTGTTCTTGAGACCTATGAGGGCGAGGCCTTCACCGTCCCCTCCACCACCTCCGGTGAAGTCTGCTCCACCTACCTTGGCCGTGACTGTGTCATCAACGGCTTCGGCTCCTCCGGCACTTTCTCCGAGGACAACACCTCTTTCCTCTCTGACTTCGAGGGCAAGAACGTTGCCTCTGCTACGGCTTACACCTCTGTTGCCTCTAGCGTTGTTGCCAACGCCGGTCAGGGCAACCTGTAAATGAGTTAACTCATTTACACTAATAAGCAGTGGATTTATTCAGGGGACGCGGTGTTGTTGATAAGTTACCTTTCGTGTATCTATTTCTATAATTACTCATGGGGAGTGTTCACGACCCTAATGTGGTTGATAACCAGCCAACACAATGACATTATTCTCTGTCAATTGCTCTGCTCAAGTAGATCTTGTTCTGTTCACATTTAGCGACGAGTATACAATGCAAAAATCTGATGATAAGATAGCTGTCGGTAATTAAATTTTGCACCTACCCCAAAATAGGAACAAAGGCCTAATCTGGATAGCCGAGCCGGATATACTTCACCCCAAACAGTCCTTCAGGAGTAGATGCATCATCCTGAAATTGAATGTTCTTTGCATCCACACCGACTCAGGATTTACCCTTTTCTTTATGAAAACATGAAGTAGTAAAGCAACTCAAACATACATCAAGATATCACGATAACAATGCCCGGTACGGTATGTGCACATACTAGCTGCTATAAGGATCATGTTTGAACTTATTCTACACTTAT